TGCTCTGACAGCCACTGTGGCTATGGAAAGAAGTGCTGCGGCGGCCAGTGCAAGGAGTGCTGCAGCGACAGCAACTGTGGCTATGGAAAGAAGTGCTGCGGAGGAGTCTGCACCAGTGCCCAGTGCTGCACTGACAGCCACTGCGGCTATGGAAAGAAGTGCTGCGGTGGCCAGTGCAAGGAATGCTGCAGCGACAGCACCTGTGGCTATGGAAAGAAGTGCTGCGGAGGCGTCTGCACTAGTGGTCAGTGCTGCTCTGACAGTCACTGCAGTTACGGACAGAAGTGCTGCAGTGGCCAATGCAAGGAGTGCTGCTCTAGCAGCCAATGTGGCTATGGAAAGAAGTGTTGTGGAGGCTCATGCAAGAAGGTGGAGTGCTGCGCTAACAGCGACTGTTCATATGGCAAAAAGTGCATCGATAACTGCTGTAAGTAAGAGGGCCACGGGCCACTACAAGACAAGAATTTCAAAGCCATATCTAGGGGCTAGTTTGATATTTTGCAAGGGATGTAATGCAACGGAAATTGAACTGCAAGACCGGCAACTACAGCACGCAATAGCAGGAGGGCATCTATAGACTATCCTAGGTGGATTGGCATCTGTAGCGGACAATAATAGTAGGAATGGCAACCATAGCACGCAATAGCAGGAGTGCATCTATAGCAGGAGGGCATCCAAGGCAGGACAACATCTATAGCAGGACTGAAGTCTGAAGGTGTCAGTCCCCCGGGAGCGGCGGGAGGTCGAGAAGCCTGATGGCAATGCAACACCGTCGGAGTTCGCACAAAAATGAGCGCTTTCTAGTGTAGCTGGAAAAGCTTCATGCATCAAGCCCAAGATGTGCTGAATCGCTTTATGTTATAATTTACGGAGACTTGGGACGGAATTCCATCAATATGAAAAAACTCTAATGTGTCTCGTATATATATACTGGCAATGGATAGCACAAGTGCACCTGAAACGTTGCAGAGATGTTTGCCAAATTGCCAGTGCTCATTATCATTGTCTTGGACAGCCACTTTTTTGCATTGTACAAGGATTACTAAAGAGACGTTCACCAGATCTGCTCAATTCTTAACTTGCACTGCAGTTGTCCTACCAGGAAAACCTGGAAAATGGTTCTCTCTCTCTCTCTCTCTCTCTCTCTCTCTCTCTCTCTCTCTCTCTCTCTC